TGTGGAGGTTGAAAGAACAATTATTTCCTACTGGTATTGTAAGTGGAGGCCATGCATGGATTAATTGGATACCTTTTGGCAGTTCCAGATCTATGGTGTCACTTGCATCTAAGTATATACATCTTAATTTTGGTCACATAATGCATCCCTCTGTCCCAATTAATGTTACACTCTTTCCTTTAAAATAAGTCCCAAAAAGAGACATATTTCTATATTTAGTAACAATTTAACTTTAAACTTCACATTTTACCCTTAACAATGGCTTACTTTGAACAACAAGTCTCAAAAGTCTTCCTTTCATTCTTAAACTTCGAGCACAGTCAAACACCTTCACATAGATTAGAACAGAGGAGTAGTAAAGTTCCTCTTTTCTTCCTCTCCTAGTTTCTCTCCTTTCACCTTCCTGCAGGAGTGGAGCGATTGTTGACATTGTAGACATCTTGTTTCCTCAATTCATTCTGGCATGAAATCAATCATTGGGTAAACAACACTCAATTGATGGAGTTACCTCTTAATCCCTTTCTCTTGTATCATCTCCCTTTTGATTCATTGTACTGAGAGCTTTACACAATTTGGCCAATTAAATGAACTTTTCCTTTTGCTCTCTATAGATTGCAAGTTTAGTTTATTGCAGTTAATATTAGAGCTCCTTTCTGAGCCCATTATTGATCATAGCAGAGAGAATATGATCACAGTAGCTTGTCTAGTATATAAAGATAGTGCTGCTAGTCCAAAATGATCAAAGTCAAAACGTGAAAGATGGTTTTCAATGTAGGTATCCAGTTACAGATGCAATTTTATAGGCTTTCACTTAAGTGTTTCTCTATTTTTTTTTATGAAGTAAGAAGAATGTCATTAACAAAGCATCAAGCAGAAGCACAGATTACAAAAGAAAGAAATATCAGCTCCCAAAAAGGCAAAAAAAGCTATCTAAACAGCTAACAACAGAGATCTATGGAGCTGATAAATTCTAGGAAAGAATCGACACCAAGTACAGGAGAGAGATTAACCCAACCAAAAAGAGTAATCAAACATCTTGCTTTAACCATCAGGGACTCCCAAGAACATAAATTTTCTATGAATAAAAATAGAAAACGAACGGCTTGTTATACAAAATTATTTATCATTATCATTTTTATCATCTATTTCTTTTCTTATCGGTATCTATGGCTTGATCACAAGTCAAAATATGGTTAGAGCCCGATCTATATTATATTGAAAGCAAGAACTCAAAAACTTAAAAGTTATTACCTAAATACTCTATAAAATTTAAATTACCTAAATATCCCTAACCTAAATAACCTACTTTAAAAGACACCTAATGCAGCCAACGGAAGAAAAGAAACCGCTTTGACAATAATTTCTCCCAATGAATAGTTGCCACCTTACAGTATCCTAAACATGGTATTATTAACAATGCCAATTTCACCTTCATTTTCAGGATATTTCTCACAAAAAACAATGGAAGCCCCACACTAAGTCCTTCAAGAAGAAGCAAAAATTTAAACTTGTAAGTCTAGGTAATGTTTTCCTACTTCTAATGATTTATTTTAAAAACTTGAACTGAGTACTTGATTTTTATGGCATGTATGGAGGATAAGTATAATGAGAAAGAAAGAAACATATTTACATCTATTTTGTAGTTCTGCATCTGTTTAATAGTTTCGTATCTATAATCTGATTTTCATTATCTATAATTTGATTTTCACATGTGGTGAACGACAAACAACAAGAATTTTTGTCTTATGCATCAACTAATGGCTAAATACACTAGAACGTACGAATCGTGTTCACAAAATAAATTATGAGGTCTCTTCATCAAAAATAAATTATGAGGTTTTGACATCTATCCTAACATTTATTATTATTGAATGTCATAAAATATATACAAAATATAGAGAAAGAAGAAAGAAAATATTTAGGGCCCGATTTGGTCACTTTTTTCTTCTTGATATCTTGGTTTGATGTGTTCCCTCTTCTAAACATCTATTGTTACTAGATCTGCCTATGGTGAATGAGGAGCATATTTCTCCACATCTGTAATTTCATAGCTTTACATAGGAAAAGCATTGTGATGAGGTCAGCAAATAGAGCATATCATTCACGTGTCTTTGTCCATTTTTTTGTACTAATAGTGAAGAAGCTCATGACCTCTTTAAAAAGAAAAAAAAAGGGCAAAATGTATAGGTTACCAAATGTATGACATGCACATGCTTGGTCTGAATGTTCATTATTTTGTGGGACAAAAAAATACAAATTCTGAAAATAGGTTATGTGGTTAGAACTGTGAAATAAATTTGATTAATATAATGATGCTATAGGAACCAACATTGCAATAGAAAAGAACATATGATGTAAGAAAGCATGAATCTACTTAGATCCTCCAAATTTCAATGATGTCATATTCACTTTCAGTGATAGTGCATTTCAGAACAATTTGTTCCCTCAGAGTTATAGCCAGAAAATCATTATTCAGCACTTAAAAGATATTATTTCATCATCCAAATATTATGCTCATTTTATTAGTACGTAACATCCTCGATATTATTCGTTTAAATGTTCACTTCCGCATTTTTTGAAGGTTTGAGTTAGTTTGAGTTATATTTTACTAGTATTAGATTTTCTTAACTTGGGAAAACTGTGGCATATGCGGTTAGTGCAAAGTTTTCACCGTATGTGACATATTTTCCTTGTGCATACTTTACACATGAAATTATTTCTCAATTTGGACTCTTCTCCATTAGCAGGTTTTGGTTTGTTTTTATCACTCTCGCACGCCTTTAATCTTCATTTATTTCTTCTTTGATACCATCCTGAGATATGTTTAGCGAATGTGTTTACTATAGTCTTCTTCCAGGAATTATTCCTCAAATAGTGAACCACTAGAGATGAGGGATACACATCTTATCCCAAATCTCATTTGTGGTAAGGTAGGGATAAGGTCTACTTCCACTCTACCCTCCCCAAATCCTATTTGTCGGATTACATTTGGCATGTTGTTGTAGACTAACTGATTTGAGCTAGTTAAACACCGAAATCAGTCTTTCGGGGATAAATAAAACGAACATGCAAAAATGAGTTGAACTTCACATTCATCCCAAAAACTCAAACTATAAGAACATATTCCGAAAAAAATGATCAAAGCACCATCACAATTATGAAGACATTATCACAACAAAAGCAACTTAACTCTAAAAATAGTTAATTGATTGCAATTTCAGTTCATTTACATACTAATCATTCTTAAAAATCATTCCAAACCCCACTCTCCAAAAACAAATAACCTTGCTCCATGAAAAATCAAACCTCAGTAACTGCCTGGAAACTTTAATTATTCAGTTTAGGTTATTCTAAATTAATCAATTTGAGCTAGTTAAACACCCAAATCAATCGTTATTATAAACAACACAATCTACAAAAATGAGCTGAAATTCAACATTCAAACGATTCATCACGAACTTTGAATACATTATTACAAGTGAAGCTAATTAACAACATGTAAGCTTCAAAAAAAACACTTCAATAAGACTATTTTTCAGCAATTAAAAGTCAAAATTGGCAAAAAAAAATGAAACAAAAGTAGTTAGGGTTTATGAGACTTACAAGGCGATTCATCCGGAGAAGAGATCCCATCTTGGCAAAAAAAAAAAAAAATTGGAGCGAAAAAAAAGTGATGAAGATTGATGATGAAGATGATGATCAAAAGGGAAAGTGAAACAATGGAGTTGGCTAGAAAAGGAAATGACCCAATTTGTAATTTCACGGGTCATACAGTTGGGTTTTTTTTGTCAAGTTGACTGAATTGGACTCCAATGGCAGACATAATTGAATTATTTTCATCTCAAATTTGATATATTATTAAAAATTTAAGAACTTTTTCACATGGAAATGTTTTTTTGGAAAAAAAAGAAAAGGAAAAGAGATTACCTTGTAGATAGGGTATCAACAAGGCTAGTCATATTATAAATTTAGCATAATATACAAACAAGCTTTTTAATTTGACTTCAGTTAATATTTATGTCCTCCGACTTTGGATGTATACAAATAGATACTTTAACTTATATAAAATTGAACAAATAGATATATGTGTTTTACATGACGTCCTACATGACAATCTGTATTCTAAGTGGAGTCCTACAGGCACACTACAAAAATAACCATAAACTTTGATATTCTATCCTCTTTTTCTTACAAATCTTTTAATTATGCGTGATGGTGGAAGTGATTGATGGTTAAGACCAACCGTAATGGTAATAATGGTTGATAGTAATAGTGGAGGTGATGGTGATGGTGACAGTGGTATATAACTATAATGATAAAGGTGATAGGTGTGATAGCGACTGAAAGTAGTGATTGTCCGTTCATGATATTCATCAAAAGCAAGTATGAAATGATATATTATTTATGTAGCTTTTCAATGTGTTATGTCCACTCCTATATTTATATACAACTATGGTGGTATAGGTTATATATGACCTAGGAAATCTAATCTTACTAAAACTAAGCTATCCTTGTCCGTAGGATTATTAGTTAATATAGGAGTCAAACTCTTTAAAGGAGTCGTAAGAGTAGTTCCAATAGTGGTTGACATCAATATACAGTGATTGTAATGATAGAGATGATTGATGATGGTAGTTGATAGTTATCGGTGATAATAATAGTTATGAGGATAAAAATAATTAGTAATAATATCTAGTGAATGTAGATAGAGTGATAGTGAAAATTATCCACACAAATTATCTAGTAAACGTAAATAGAGTGTTAGACTAAATAAGCTTTCAAATCTTAATATAAATGAATACACCATTATATATTCAGATTCAGATCTTCGTCAAGTAGAAACAAATAACCCTCTAATTGATTAGTATAACACAAGGAATGATAACAATTTTTTTATTTTAAAAAAGACTCAATTAGTAAAATATTCAATTGATTACATAATTGTCCCTTTCTTGTCTCAATGAAATGGTAAATCTCTCCTTAATGACTCCTAGCACACCACAAAAAAGAACCACACAAACCCTCACACTCTTAATTACCTCTTCTTCTTACAAGTCTTCTACTAATAGTACTATTCCTTTGATATTTCCCAAACTTACAAAGAAAACATGACACAAGAAGAAGAAGAAGTTGTACTTTTAGATTATTGGCCTAGTCCTTTTGGAACAATGGCAAGAATTGCCCTAGTTGAAAAAGGAGTCAACTACATCCACAAGTTTGAGGATTTGTCTAATAAAAGTCCTTTGCTTTTGGAAATGAACCCGGTTCATCACAAAATACCGGTTCTTGTTCATAAGGGTAAATCTATTTGTGAATCAAATATCATAATTCAATATATTGATGAGATTTGGAAAAACAATTTTCCCTTATTGCCCTGTGAACCTTACCAAAGAGCTAAAGCTAGGTTCTTGGTTGACTTCATCAACAAGAAGGTAAAGGACTTTTCAACTCTTCTTTAATTCATTTCATATGTAAAGTTGTATGTTTGTGTGATTTGATTAACTTGTATAGACTTAGGGGTTGTTTGACCAGTGGTTAGAGTTATGCAGGTATTACTATCATAAGAATTAGTTATGTAGTTATGCAGAATTTAGTTATACTCAGGTACATATTCTGCATAAAGTAATACTCTCTTTGTTTTAATTCGTTTGTCTTTTGACTTGACATAAAGTTTAAGAAAATATAAAAGACTTTTGAATCTTACGATCTTAAATTAAAGATACGTGAAATGTATGGAAATAGTTTTTAATCTTATCATCATATAAATAACCCTACAAGCATTAATTTTAGGTACATGGGTCAAGTGTAAAGGTATGGATGGGGCAAAATGAAGAGCAAGAAGATGGTAAGAAAGAACTTGTAGAATGGTCAAAGTTTTTGGAAGAAGAACTTGGAGACAAACTTTATTTTGGAGGAGATGAATTTGGATTTGTAGACATTGCATTTGTTCCTTTCTACAATTGGCTTATTGTCTTCAAGACCTTTGCAAATTTCAACACAATTGAAATAGAATGTCCCAAGTTAGTGATGTGGGGAGAAAGGTGTTTGAAAAGAGACTCAGTATCCAAGTCACTTCCTACTTCAGATCAAGTCTATCAAGCTTATTTGGAATTCAAGAAAGGTTGGTCACATGGTTAGTAAACACAAAAACGGATTCAGAATTTTATATTTTAATGATCGAACATATCACTTGTTTGAGGTGGGACCATAATGAGTAGTGAGAGGGTCTAATGGTTTAACATCATCAGTCGATATGTTTGAATATTGAAGACACGTAAATGATAAGTATGAATATTATTGATAAAGAGTGTGTCTATTTGAAAGAACATGACTTCACCTATGTATACATATTTCTCGCAATAATACTAGTCGATATGTTTGGATGTTGGAGTCACATAAATGACAAGTACGAGTATTATCGATAAAGGGCTTATCTATATGAAGGAAATTGTTTACATCTAACAAGTATAATTTTTTTACATCAAATAAGTAATTTATTTATTTATTTAGATTTACTTTTTTTATTATTTTTCATTCGATATTTACATTATAGTTCGACTAAATTTAAATTTACGCTGAAAAATCTCACATTGAGAGATAATCACGCCTTTACAAAAGCGACTCCATATCCGAGATAAATTTAGACTTACTTAATAGTTAATATATACTAATTCAAAGTGTCTTATGATCCAATTTTTAATATTTTTTCCAGATTAAAAGAGAAGGTCCAGAAAGATGTGGGGAATTCTTGATAATACAATAAAAAAAAATTTAAAGCCTCACCAACCTATGACTAATCTTATTTTCTATTTATAGTAAAGTCATTCATATCTTTAAGATAATGATGATCAATTAAATTTGTTTTTTAAAATTTTTATTCTTTTGTTAGGTTTTGTTAGGAAGCGTTTTATCTCAAACATAAACGTAAAATTAAATAAAAATCCTTCTAGATTATAAGAGAAGTTCCTAGAAATATGTAGTCATTCTTGATAGTACAACCAACAAACTCTATTTATACACATAATTTTCTATTTAAGTGTTCATCACATATTTTAGTTCCACTTTAATTTCATCTTTTAATTAGCAAAAATGAGTAATGAAGTTGTTCTTTTGAGTGCTTATGTGAGTATGTTTGGTATGAGGGCAAGAATTGCATTAGATGAAAAAGGGATTCAATATGAATACAAAGAGGAAGATTTGAGTAATAAAAGTTCACTTTTACTACAAATGAATCCAATTCATAAGAAAATTCCAGTGTTGATTCATAATGGAAAACCAATTTGTGAGTCACTTATAATTGTTGAGTATATAGATGAGGTTTGGAAGGGCAAATCTCCTTTGATGCCTTCTGATCCTTATAAGAGGGCTCAAGCTAGGTTTTGGGCTGATTTTATTGACAAAAAGGCATACAATTACATCTATATATTATATATTTTCTTTAATTACTAAAATAGTTGGTGTATATGTAAAGATTTTAATATTTTACTTTAACAGGTTAGTAGGTAGTTGAGGGGTGGTTTCACTAATTTTAATTAGTTAAACAAGAAGTGTACGTTCAATTTTGAGATCACCATTTAAGTCATATTGACATCAATATATAGAGTTCTGAAATTTCATATAACTGAAGTTCAAGTACATATTATTGAAATTTAGTCAATTTTGCATGAAATTTAAAATTGAGATCAGAGAAAAATACAAATTTACTTTCAAAATTGAAAATGAAGTTCTTAATAGAGAGCGTTTTCTTGTTACAGGTTTACGAGAGTGGAAAGAGAATATGGACTACAAAAGGGGAAGATCAAGAAGCAGCCAAGAAAGAATTCATAGAGTGCCTAAAGTTATTGGAAGGAGAGTTGGTAGATAAGCCATATTTCAATGGAGAAAATTTTGGGTTTGTGGATTTGGCTTTAATTCCTTTCTATAGTTGGTTCCCAACTTTTGAGAAATTTGGGAATTTTAACATAGAAAAAGTGTGTCCAAAGTTTGTGGCATGGGCCAACAAATGTATGCATAAAGATAGTGTCTCCAAATCTATAGCGGAGCCAAATAAAGTTTATGAGTACGTGTTAAAATTGAAACAACAACTTGGCCTTCCATAGGTCTTTTCGTTGTATTCGTACAAACAGACTTGATGGAGTTAAGCTGTGAGGATGTTATGTGTGTGTTAGTTAATATGTTTTTTCTTTCTGAAAACTTGCGAGGTAGTTATAAAATAAATGTTGTTTATCTATATTTATGTATATATAAAGAATAAATAAATGTTTTTATTATGCTATTAAGGGGTGGATTTCTAGCAAGTCTTGGTGTAATAAAACTACTTTAGGTAGGAAATTGTAGTAGGAGATTTTATGAAATTGTTGAATGCTAAGCTAGCCAATAATGAATCTCTGTGTAAATTTGGGGTTTATGGACCTTCTAAATGCTATTGTTGTATCAACTTTGATGATAATTTTTACGAATAATTTTTTATCATCCTTTTTTAAATCGAATGTCTATTGAAAATCGTCCCTCTATCTAAGTACACTTTATCTTCACCGGAACAAGAAATTGCTAAAAGAAGAGTGTTACTCACTTCCAAAGTAATAGATTTCCACTACATTCTACTTGTTAACAATGAAATCAAGAAAGCCAAAAGATCCATTCTTTCATCATAAAAGGAGAACATTTATTACATAAGTGAAATCCACAAAAACAAAAACACTAAAAACAGAATCCAACAAGAGACATGTCCATGTCTTCTTTTTATTTTTTCTCCATTCGGTACCTGAAGCCTGACTAAATACTCCTTAACAAAGACGACTCTCGTGTCTTTATCATTCCAATCCAAACTTGTTCCTAAGGTGAAGGACAAACTCACAAACTTTCTTAGAATCAGGAAGTGCCTTAGAAACACTATCTCTTTCCAAACACCTTTTCACCCATGAAATCAATTTGGGACATTCTAATTCAACATTAAATTTTCCAAATGTTTCATAGGCAAGAAACCAACTATAGTAACCAATCAAAGATACATCAAGAAACCCAAAATTATCACCTCCAAAATATGGTTTGTCACCAAGTACTCCTTCTAGCAATTTAAGTCCATCTAAAAAGTCTTTGATTGATTGCTCTTGTTCTTCTCCTTTTGTTGCCCATGTCTTTCTTGCATATTCATGTACCTTCATTATTTTGCACAATTGAAATTATTCAATCCAACACACTTTTCTTTTTTTGTCTACACAAAATATATTACTCCTTTTGTTCCTATTTAGTTGCGTTTTAGTTTTTTCTTCTTTTTTCTTGAATGAAAAAACATTAATCATAAGAGACAAGTGAGACTTGCTCAAGTGGTTGAGCATCTCTACCATCGATCAGTAGATTGAGAGTTCAAGTCGAGCTAAAGGGTGAGTGAAAACATTATTGATCCTCTTTGAATTAAAAGAAGAACATTATCTACCCTCATTTACCGCTCCTTAATTATATCACAATTTATATTGTTGTTCAAATCTCAAGAGTCAAACTAGTAATTTTGACCGTAAATTCAAATGAAACCTTTAAGCTTTTAAAATGAATAGTACAAATTAGTAATTTCCAAATCAATAACTTTAAAAGACTAAAATCCTAATTTCTCATTGCCTTCAAATCCTGATTTTCACCTCTAAGAAAAATCATATTATAACTAGTACTATATTATTTATAACGACTATAAAATCAAATCTCTCCTTTCAAGCGCGAATAAAATTAAAGCAAAAAAGGAAATATTTTTTTTTTTTTTTTTACTTACAGTATTGTCCATATAATCAGACCAAAACCAAGCTTGAGCTTTCTCATAAGGATCTTTTGGAACTAACAAAGGACCAGTTCCCTTCCAAACATCATCAATATATTGAATTATAACAAGTGATTCACAAATTGATTTTCCATTATGAATTAATACTGGAATTTTCTTGTGAATTGGATTCATTTGTAAAAGCAAAGGGCTTTTATTCTTCAAATCTTCTTCTTTGTATTCATATTTTATACCTTTTTCTTCAAGTGCAATTCTTGCCCTCATACCGTACATACTACACCAAAAATCTAATAAAATCACTTCTTCTTCCATTCTATTCTAGAGCAAAAGTATTGAATACTAATGTTATTGATGAGTATTGACTATTGATATGAGGCACTATATAAAGAGTTTTTTTAGAGTAATGTGCATCATCAATGTAAATAATTTTTATATAATATTATAGTCATCTTTTTAAATTGTACTAGATAACATATTTTATTTTTAAATGTCGAAGGACATATTTTATGAAGGTTTATTTATAGAAATTATTTTAATGATTTGATAGTGTAAAAAAATATTTGTATAGATTGTGTATAAAATATAAAATCATATATCATTGAGTCCTACATCAATGAGATATTGTGGATTTTGTAACCTTTTATATGGTTTTTGATAAATTTCACTTTGTAAGCTAGTATTTGATATTGTATCAGATTTATTATCATGTATCAAAACTAAGCACACTCCAATATGATTTTGGGGATAATTTGATGTTTAACTGATCATATTATATTATTTACGCTTCGAATGTATCATATTAAACCCCACATTAATGAACTTTGTGTCTCTTTAATGTGATTTTGGACAGTTTTTATTTCTATCTACTCTCTTCATATCATATTAGTTATTCATTTTTTTTTCTATACATACTTTAATAGATAAAAAATTGTAAAAGATTATATTCACTCATAAAAATTTCCTATGATATATTATTATAATCTTTGGTCACTAATTGATCTTGGCATTCTTTATTCGTTTTTTTCTTTTTCTTTTTTTTGCTTTTACATTTGTTTAATGCAATTAGTGACTTGTTATAATATGATCTATATGTTTTGCCTTTACAATATTCTTAAGAGGTCAAGAAACATTATTAGCGTTACAAAGATTTGATGAGATCCAATTGCATTACATTTTCGATTTATATAACCCTTGAAATTTGAACCATATGCTAAGTTTGTCTTCATCCAAAGAAACAAAGTGGCAGGTAAAATAATTTGATCTTAAATTAGTATATTTGTTTTTGTCTTAATTTACGTGATATTATTTGTTTAAATATAAAAATTAAGAATGAGCAATTTTTTTTAATATTTATAATCTAAAATAAGTCTTAAATATTTATATAATTTAAATTATTTATTAAAAGTAAAATAAAATATTAAAATATTTGTAAATATAAAAAAATAATTTTAATAAATATAGACATTTGATACTGTTTGTATAATATTGAATATTGAAGCTTTTTCTTGACGTTAGTGGTGTCTGCAAGTTGGGCTATAATTGAGTGAAATAAAATAAATTAAACAATAAATAAATAAAATCATAACCCACTCAATATTTAATCCAATTTAGGAGTGTTAAATAGAGATATCTGGGTGAGTTGAACTGAATTTAAGTGGATTCTCTATATTTGGTAGGGTCTTTAATTTTTGCGCCTCAAAATCATAACCCACTCGCCTCTCTCCATCTCTCGCTCCTTTTTCGCTCTTATACAAGTAAAATTAGAGCAAATGAATACACTCCCGGCATTTTTTTGTGTTTATATATCTTTGTATACTCATGTATTGTATTTGATGATATAACCTAAATGCATGCATGAATACAAGAGCGAATGAATAGCCTAAATGTTTGGATAGATTGTATCGTTCTCCGTCGTTACATAATGTCACACAAATAATTTGAATGATAAACCTATAAGAAAGTAGGATACGAGGTAAAACAACTATAAAAATGTACAATAAAAGATTTAAAATAATTATTAAATAACAAATAAAGACAAAATGAGAAGAAAATATTAAGATAACCACGCGATCACAACAAATCGGTCGTTACATAAAATGAATTTTTTCACCGTTACCTAATGATGGATTTAAATGATACAATAGAATTTAAGTAACAATCAAAACAAACGTTGTATTTAAACTTACAATACAATACAACGGATAACAACCATCCACAAACAAGGTGTAAAGTGGCTTTAGGTTGAGCAATCAACAAACCTTTTTCCTTTTTTTTCAGTTTCTGTGTTGCTGCACAATGCATGCAAGAAGCATCTTCAATTAGTTAGTTCAGAATAAACAAGTAGTAAAATAAAGAATCAGAATCATAGAACAGCTTTGTTGGCTGTTCCAATATTCCATCTTTGCTTCAGCTGATTTTCTTTTGGAACTCTTCTAGCATTACCAAGCATCACTCTTTGAGCCATTCTTCCCCTGCTACCAATGGAGATCCTAACTTTCTCCATTCCCACGTTTATGCCAACTCTTCTGATGTTCTGCTGCATAGGAGACTTGAACTGCATTTTCTTCTGAAGACTTCTTCTCAAGACACTGTTGAGCTTCTTACTGGCTGTCTTAAGCTCTTTAGGACTGTCCTGTGAAGTTGGTTCAGGTAAGCATTTTGAATCAACTCCATCAGCATCTTCCATCTCCTCTGATTGAATTGATCTCAATGGAAAAAGTGGAGGAGGCAACTTAGGTACAGCTGACAGAGTGCGTATAGGAATTAGAGAGTTACGACGTGGAGCAGGTGTAGGAAGAATCCTGTGTGCAATCGGGCACATAGAAGCTCTCCCCAACCTCTTTAGAGCAACTGGTTGTTCATCAATATCTGGATTGTTCTCCTTGTTTGCTTTTTCTGTCAGGTCATTGTGCTTCAAAGGACAATCTACAGTAGCAGAAGGCACCGAGAGTTTGTAGGAATTGTTCTCAGTAAGTGGTCGAGGTATATTAAGTGGAAACTTGTTTTCATCACAAGTCTTTAGAACAGAAATTTTGCTGGCAAGTGGTAGCCTCGTAGGTGCTGCATCTTCCTCCTCATTCTGTTGTCTCATATGCTGTTGCTGAAACTGTTCAGCAATTTTAGAGTCAATGTGCTGTCGAGCAAGCTTTCTCTCAACAAGAAGTTGTGATTCTAGTTCTTTAA